TTAGAGACCACGAAAATGTGCGCTTCACATAGCCTTACAATGTGAATTCTAACGAGTGGAACAGTTCCCGGCAAGACTGAAACGCAGAGTAGCCTCGGAACCCTACACTTTTAGTGTGGCGAACTCGATCAAATGTTATGACTTCGCACTTGCGCGACGCATACCCTCGATAGATAGAGCCATATACCTCTGTTGGTCTTCACTTTGAGCGACATAAAAGGACACATCCTTTACCAGAAAGAAAACAGGAGTGTTCCGGAGTGAAGCCCCGGATGTTAATGTTATAACTAATTTGGAAAAAATAGGAACGAAGCTGTGTAGTGGGTGTTATCTCAACAATCTTCCAGCAGAACTCGTTTTCATAGCGTTTCTTGTTCCCAAAACATGGGCAATGTGTAAATTCCCAAAAGTCAGTACAACAAGTCAGGAGCGCAGAAGTACATTGCTTGCAGCCCTGATGGCTGGCTGATGGTGGTCTGGTGACTTGAACATTGGAGATGAAGGTAATTGTGACCATCGGTAGGATGGGCAATGCGGTAACCCCGTGTTATATTACCGTAGTAGGCAGCATTGATTGATTTAGTCTTTGGATAATGTTTTGATCTAGTTAGCTCTTCTATTCTTTCATTAGCGTCTAGTCGCATCATTATTTTGATATATAGGGGTAGTCCACTTTTGTTCCACTAAGGCGTTGAGAATCTGTCACGCAAGATTAGGTAGGGTACATCAGGGATCTACGATGTAGCTGCGGCCAGCACTATGCCGAAAGATGCTTGGCACCCAGCATATTTACCTCATTTTTTCAGGCAACGCTCCAACTTCTTCACTGTTAACCAGCTCGTATCGCTCCAAATCTAGTATGCTCTCTGTTTGGTCACTCAGTGTGCCCACTGTTTGAGTATCGGTGTCAGAAAGTACTTCCTCAATTACATAGATGCTACTGACTTCCGGCTGGATGCCAGTAGACATTACTCTGTAAAAATGACATATGGAGGACCGCCAAATAGAGCAATACATACTCTGGTTTTGAGATTCCACAGAGAATGCATTTGTGGCCAACGTCGGTCTAAAAAACTCAGTTGTATAGGGCCACTTGTGTGCTGACAAACTTCAGAACGCAGCCGGTTCACCTGTTGCTCAGTTGCTGTTGAGACCGTTGCAGTTTTTATTTTGCTCCTATCGTTACCTTGCTCTAGGGTCTGAATACTAGATATCAATGTACTCTTATGTTTGGGCGTACAGGTCTTCTGGAAAGCGGAAGACATTGAAATGAGGCTTGCCTGACAATATGATTCCACTGTTTGCTGCAATTTCTGAGACTCGCGGGATAATGTTCTTTTATAGGACATGTCCGAGTTCACCTCAAAGGAGAAATGCAGAGATCAATCCCTAAGTCCGTCGTCGTGTCCTTACCTCAGCTTTTTGGATGAGCTGGTTAAACCTCTGCATTTCTTTTCTTTCTTCGTCAGCTTTCTTTTCAGCAGCCTAAATCAGGTCCAATTAACCGGTCTCACCAAAATGCTTTGACCGTACCTGCTCAATGTAATTATCGAAATCTTCTTTGTTAGCACTGGCGAAGGCAGGCATACCCGTTCCAGGATCAAGATGCGTGAGTACGGCAGGTGGATCGATGCCCTTCAATATTGACTTTTGAAGTTGATCATTGAGAAAGAATCGCCACACAAACTTTTGCTTCGCAATGTTCTTTGAAACGATTCATGACTTTCGCTCCTCGTTCTTTACTAAAGTTCTCTGTTTATGCAAGCAGTCATAGCAAATAATCGAGTACATTCAAATGGGGCTAGTAAGGAACCTGATCAGAGGCATAAGAAATTTGGCCTTTCCCTTGAAGCCAGCCATCATTCCCTTTTCCGCGTCCGGATCACCATTTTTGACTGCTTCCATGTAGTCCTGAAGAGCATCGCTGAGTAACCAACGTTATGATGCCACAAGTACCTGTAGCATTTTCTTCAGCAGAGCCATATACATTAGTTCCAGCTTCTCCCTCACGACGTCGATGCAAACCGAAACCATCGAGAGACCTACGATTACTACACCAAAAGTGCCTATCATGTACTCAGGATGTGCTGGTGTTACATCGCCAAGACCTCAATTTGCTGAATTTTGTTAAGCGTGAGAATGAGGCAAATATGTCGGAAACGGATTCACCTATAGTGCTACTTGATATAAAAAAGAAGTATATACTAGTAAAGTATGTCCAGTCTTCCCAGATGCAAAACACAGCTGCAGCAAGCATAATCCATCCAACTGTTGCTGAAATTACGAGCGTTATGTAGTTGAAGCTTTTACATAGGCTTTCTTCTCCCCCGCAAACACTCTTGCCCAAGAAAAATTTCAAAACTTCTTTCAGTGGTCTAACTTGTTATTTAAGCCCATTGTTTGAGTACGCTTCACGAGCCGGGCAGCGTAATTTCAAAAAGGGGCTTTACAGTAATTACATGTTCAACCGTTACACGAATTATTGCAAAATATGCCTTTCTATAGGCCGTCCGCGCCGTGCTCGGAGAGCAACGCGGTT